TTTTTTTTTTTCTGGGGCCTTTTAATATTTGTGTGATAACGCGTGTGTGTGTGTGTGTGTGTGTGTGTGTGTGTGTGTGTGTGTGTGTGTGAATGTGTGTGACCACTAAGCCGTATCTACTCCATAGAACGCCTTTGTTGACCTCGCCATGTTGCAGCAGTGTTCCATAACTGTGACCTTGATGGTGGAAATAATCGCATCTACTAGGAGCGCAGGGAAAGTGAGAAACGAATCAGACGCGTTTGTCAACCATCTAAAAGTCATCTTATGCTGTTTAAAGATGGCCATGAGGTAAGGTAGGTTCTCCGATTCAATCCTTACTGAAGGGAACCTATTTTTCGGAGACATGGTTGCTTCATCCAAGACATGCCGTATCAGAACATTAGGTAACTCAAAGTTGGGGCTCATCAGCCTCTCAAGGGCTAAGGCGCGAATGAGGTGCTTACATACAAAAAACGGGGTATTGACAGCTTTATCAGTGCCAACAACATACAAATGCTCTAATAGAAACCTAACCTCGCTCTTAACCTGGAATGAGACACTCCTTGCCGAGCATCTCTTCGCCCATTGACTAACCTCTTTGTCGAGCAGATTCCTAACAAGGCCAGTCATATGTCTGACCAGTGGTCTAGAAATAGTTTCAGCCCACAAAATGATTGTCACCGTATCATCCCATGCTCTCATAAGCACTTCTATTGCTTGTTTCTTCGTGGGAATCCTCAATTGGATGTGGTTCAAACCCATTTTTAGCAACTCAGTAAGCTTTGGACTACCAACAATTGATGGGTCCATCGTTAGCATATGCATAAACGGGGTTTGGCAGGGTTGCGTCATGGAGAGAGTCTCTTGATTGAGGAATGGCTGGAAACGCTCCCCATTGTTGCATGGACAAAGTATTTCGTCGGTCATCGAATCATACCACTCCTCAAGGTTGAAAAACTTGAATACAGAGGCCGGCTTGTATACATACCGACTGATCGGATCATCATAGGTCCAACCAAAAACGATAGAAAGGAACAGAGTTAGCACATTGACACCGACAAATCGTGAGAGAACAGACTCAAAGACCCGTTTGACATTCAGCCCTTCCAGTGGTCTGCCAACATAGTGGATATGCACGAAGTTGAGAGTCGATCCCTCCTTATCCAGTATTTTCTTCCACCTCTTCCTCCCCGAGGGACCATCAACCAGGGACCCCTTGCATACGTGCAAACAATCCCAACACATCAGCAACTTGAGCCACGTAAACTTCAGTTATCGAATATCGCCCTGTTGACATTCCGCTGGCGCCCATCATTCCCTCCAAGAAGTGCAGTAGGCAAGCTGACCCTCTTCCCTCCGATAGAGGTTATCGTGGATTCGGGTGGGGTAGCTACATCAGAGACAACAGTCTGATTTGGTGGAGTAGAATTAACGAATCGATCCATAGTCCCCTGGCCATCACATCTAGCATGCTTACTTCCCGAGGAGGATGCCGCCTCAGTCGTCCTAGACCTCTTCCTAACGTACTTGCCCATGAAGAGCAGCTTTGCGCATTCCTTGAATGCCTTTCGGTCAGCACCATTCACCCTGACCAACACAGAATCAATAGTCGTAGAGGGATTCACAATAATCTTTTTGGCGAGAAGCATCACTACTTCTCTCACACACCCAAATGATAGGGATGTGATCATCAACGGCTTCCAATACGTGGACATGCACTTGATCAATGAGGACACCTTTGCCCTCGGACTTGGTGAATCCGGATACATAATGTCCAGATTGCACAGAAGGTACCAAATCAGATGATCGAACCATGCAGGGCCAGTCCCGCAATCTGCCTTCCCTTCAGAAGTGCATCTGCACTTCAGGTACGGTCTCCCCACATTCCAAACCCTCTTCAATTTGGCCAACGTCGAGGGATTCTGAGGGGGTTTGTTACCCTTTATCAAAACATTGGGGCGAGGGAGGGAACACTTACTAAAGTCCATTGAGTTCATGGGAGGGAAAAAAATCCCCTCACCATTGAAGGGGAAACTGACATGAGGCGAAGTTGTGTTCATCTCTAATGCTCTATTATACGCGGCCTTCATCTCATCCTGTGTAAGGGATGCTAGCAACCTGTACCCTCTCTGATCCAACGGAGCAAGATGATTAAAGGTCTCGAGATACCAAATCTTGCCGAAGAAAGTTGTGGACATCGTTTCTACCCATCAGGGTGACGCAAGCGGGAGGAATGCATTCCTCCGCATATCCAAGAAGGTTTTCTTCTTGGTTGACACAAGACAGGCTCTGGTTTTTGCCACCTCAGCATCCTTCATCCTCATATACTCCTTCTCCTCTTCTATCATCTCATCTTCATCATCCTCCATCGCCACCTCATCCATTATCATTGTTTTGCAAACATCTTTCTCCCTATGGAATTGTGAATCAGCACCCCAAAGTTTGACAAATTTAACCTCAGCCTCAATCGTGTTGGCATTTATCGTCCTATCCTCAATACTTACAGATTCCCTTACAGTAGACGAAGCCCTCGCCATCCTGTTCACCTTATCCACTAACTCATTCCTCCTATGTCGGTACACATATATCAACTCAGCCCAGTCATTAAATGGCAAATACTCAATCAAGGGGAGGGAGTGACTTTCGGGCGAAATCGACCTCACCCTAACCTCAGCAATCACCTGCTTTTGAGCATACGCAATCAGGGCTTGGGTGGGACGAGAAGGAGGATGAAAATGGGCATGCCAGACTTTATCTCCAGAAACGAGATCCGCAATCCACAGCACTTGAGGGGCAACATAGTCCTGGACACATTGAATACGCGAACACACGGATCTTAGCATGAGTATCCTTGCGGGGACAAGAATGGAAGCATAGGAACAAGATGCATATTCCAGCAAAGTAAAGTAAATCAGGAATTCATAGAACAACGGGAGCATCTAGTATCCCAATTGTGCGTCATGAGCAGGAGGCCGTGGGTATCAGCCACGAGAAGAAACTTCCACCGAGGGTACTTCCCGCGAATGGACATGTGGGTGTGATGATGTGTGTGAACACATATTGCGGACGCCTCAGCATATAAATCACACATGCTCCACCCCGCCATCACAACACAGGATACACCCCAACATGAAACCTGAGATACATCACCAATTATTCCAAAGATTTCATTCAATATATTCATTGGGCTCACACTTCCACCTATAGGTTCAACGAAGCCACGGAACCATACACTCACCCTAGCCAATTAGATCAAGGAGCTCATTATAGACAGAGATCCCTAGGCATGCAAACATAATATGAGAAAACTAATAATAGATCGCACTTCGAACGAACATCAAAGTAAGAGGAAGGGATCAAGATAGAGGGAAAGAGAGGGAGAGAGAAAGCAAGAAGGAAAGAGAAAGCAAGAAGGAACGCAAAGAAGAGAAGGGGAGAGAGAGAGAGAGAGAGAGAGAGAGAGAGAGAGAGAGAGAGAGAGAGAGAGAGAGAGAGAGAGAGAGAGAGAGAGAGAGAGANGAGAGAGAGAGAGAGAGAGAGAGAGAGAGAGAGAGAGAGAGAGAGAGAGAGAGAGAGAGAGAGAGAGAGAGAGAGAGAGAGAAGGAGAGAGACACGCATAATTCGCAATTCGGATACCCCCAAAAATTATTCATGCTTTGCTCAAGACAGTTTTAGAATCCACATCGTCCTTACTGAAGAGAAGCTCCCGTTCTCACCATCCCACACACTCGGCTTAGCATAGGGCCAACATATCAATCCGTTGTCTGGTTGGAAGCATAGATCTTTGACGAACCACACCACCCACTTCTCAAATCATCGGCCAACTAGGAACTCCTTATGCAACCTGAATCACACTAACTTCACAAGCAATAGCCCCGATCTCCAGTTACTCCAAGTACCCATTTATGCGCCTATCGAT